TGACACCCCGGTACACCGTGGTCTTTCTGCACGTGCAACAACCTCGCTAGAGCTCTGCGCGTGTGGAGCATGAGGCTGCACGAGCCGTCTTGTACGTGCCCACGGGTCGACGAGTCACCTGCCGGCGCCGCTTGAAACCATAGTGAGAGAGAGTGAAGAGCGAACTTTATCGGGCCCGTCGCAAGGAGCGCGCTGTCCTCACCTGAAGAGTATTATCTTACACCGTGGTCCGGATGTATTTCTTTACTTACCGATACAACACAACTCAAGGGGTGAACGCTGCTCGTTTTACAGCGTCAAGTGTTATTGGCGAGGAGATCGAACTATAGGGGGCGCTCTGAACCGTTTGTTGTCGCCACACCTAGTTGTTTACCCAACACAAAGCCTGTGCACATGCCAAAAGGCCTTGTGGGCATGACCATGTCATATTCTTTAATCGAGCGCAGGGCACAGTGTAATTTAAAAATGCTAATAATAGACGAAGTTACGTTAAGTACCGGATCTCTCCCGAAAGCAGTCGTCAGAGAATGCGAGCTCGACCCACTTCTGCTTTTGTGCTGAGCTGGGCACCGTGCATGCTGCATTGTTCATGCAGGCCGGAGTGGTAACAAAAGAGCCCCCTTCTCCCTCACCGGAAAACACGAACTCGTGCCGAACGCTGACGCCGCGTTCGGTTAAGTCAGCCGAGCGCTGAGTCATTGTATTTATTGTCCCCATCTGTGTAGTTCTGAAGTTAGCCGCTTGGGGCGCCACGGTCTGATCATCTCCTCCCCAATAGTCTATTTCACCTTATGATGTACCGCAGGAAAGGCTACAGGCGCGAGCTCCTTTCTCTAGGGCACATCTCGGCGGCACACGCTGTCGCGGATTAAAGGCAGCAGCCAACGCTATGAGCCCGCGCTTCTAGCCTTTTCTGTGGCACAACATAAAGTGAACCGGAGTATAGAAAGTATGCACTGACGGCCATAGCTGTGTGCGCGACTGCTGAGCGCGTGCTGATGGAGAGCTTCCACAGTTTTTTTGTAACGTGCATTCCGCACCCTCAAGATTGCCGGTCTTAGCAGCCTATTAATGGGGGCTCGTTCTGAGCATGCACTCTAGACAGCACCCACACATATGGCGCCCAGTGAATACTCCTTATAGACTCCCGTCCTCCGGTTTCGCAACGGCGTAAGCGTAAACAAAAAAAAACAAAAAATATCACGAGAGCGCGCGGCTCGGTTTTATGACCGGGCCGTGATGTCACGCGGTCGGGAAGTGTAATCTGAGCCACTAAATAATTGTAATCCAGCAGCGTTACAAAAAAAAAAAAAAAAAATGCGATCGCGTCTTTTTTAGCCGTGGTAAATACCCTTCGATGGCTTTCGGCGGAATTCACTATGCGGTGCCGGATGTTGCCTAATCGTCGGTTTCGCAATAGGTTATCGTTTCCGATCTTCAGTGTCGAAATTCGCCAAATCCCGATACTCAAGAAATCGTCGCGTAAAATCGAATAAAAGACAAACACATCACGCGACCTTAAAATCATTTATTCCCCAACAACGTATCCACATTAAACCAAGGCAACGTCATTTAAATATCAGAGCATCGCATGACGCATGATCGACGCAGTGTCAACCGATCGTCGTCGTCATATCTGGAATAAGCAGCGTACCTGCCGCTGTTTACACGCACCACGTCGTGTGATCATCGCACAATTTTTACACTACCCCGAGTGCTGAACGTGCTTGCACTCGAAGGGCATCGGATAGGGCAACATATTTGCAATGAATCCTTTCGAACAAGCGTGCAGCACATGCGCGAGCTCTTGTGCCATTTCGTGTCAAAGGTTCGTCTGTGCTTTGGAGGATACAGGGCAGTGACTCTTCTGAAGCGATAATTTCACACAAATAGCACTTTGCACGTGTGTTTAACTACGCCATACTCGGATTACAAGCTCGGTATATTTTATCAAATAGAGTAAAATATTGTATTAAGACAATGGGCAAGTAATATACGTGGTGCAGTCACAAAAGGCATAGACAGGCCTGATGAGGAGACAGTCCCCTCCTCAGCCCCTCTCCCCGTACACCCGATTCAGTAAGTCCAGATGAAAAAAGAAGAAGAATGCTCAACGAAGAAAGGAAACTCACATGACCGAGCCATACCAAACATCACGAATGCGCATGAACAATAACAAAAACGCTACATAAAAGACATAACCGACGAAATGAAAACCAAACGATCACACGTGAAGCGACGAAAGAACATGCATACATATTTTTATTTTATTTTTTGCTTAAAATCGAAAAAAAATAAAACGCGGAGAACAAGCACAAGACAACCACGTTCTTTCAATTTTAAGTATTTTAAGTATCCAAGTTCAACTCGCTAGCTTTCACCAATATTTTTGAACTTGCAGAAACACGGCCCAGAAAATGGCACCACGTAACACATTAGCCAGAACGATGACACCAGCACGCTGCAAGCCAACCTTAACCCACGCAGCAAAGCGGAAAAGTAATATTTCCGCTTGGAAGGAGAGAGAGACGGGACCACTTTTGCTTATAAGGCGAGCGCGTGCGGCGCGGGTACCTCCCAGTATTCAGGTTGGCAACTGATGAAGGCACGATTGAGAAGTGCTTCGGCGGCACATGAGTTGGAAGAACAGATCGGCTCAAACAGAGAATGTCCAACAAATCACAACTCGACAAGAAACTAAGAAGACTATAGAAACAATTTCTATTTTCAGTTCAAAAGCAATTTTTACTGACAAAATTCTTATAATTTAAGAACAAGTAATCTAAATTCGTAATGTATCTTTTTCTTCTTTTTTCTTGCAATCGTAGTAACATTATTTAAAAACAGTGTCAGTGAATCCGGTAATACGCAGAAGCACGCGAGGCTTCAGAATATATTCTTGAGCGTGAAACACGCGTGAGCTCAAAAACCGCGTCGCGTCGCGACGCTGTGCGGCGTAATCACGTAGTGGCGCCGCATTTGGCCGCATCGTGTCGTCGGCGGCGGTTGCTATGGTTACCCCGCTTGGCGGCGCGACAGGACGTGATTTTTGCTTACGTGTGTGTCACGCTTCACGCGCTGTGAGAGCGTAGGGTTTTCGTCCGAAATGCCCGACACAGCATGCGCCGGTGAGCGCCCGGTCGACTACTATTGGCGACGTACCCGATCAAAAGCGTCGCTGCGATCGTCATTCGCGATGGGCCCAACGCTCACCATGACATCTTTATTTGGATTAATTTTGCTTACATCAGCGGAAATAAGAGCAGTGACAGACTGTCAACTTTGACAGTGTTTGTTTAAAATAGGATGACTCCGAGCTTCTTCGTGTTTTTTCCACACACTTGTAGTTCGCAACTGATGATAAGTAGCCAGGAAAACACCTTGTGACATCACGGCGGGGCACATCCTGGTCGTGACATCACGAAAATAAACCACAGGAGGGCGCCACCGAAACACCTCGGCGCTAATATACTCTATTACAACATAAGATGAGCAGTACCCCAACCACTCCCAGTTCGAAACTAAACGGCGGGTTTCGCAGTATTTGCCACATCCAATATATACGTTATCTTCTGGAAATGGTCACTTAGTTATACCACTGTCAGACTTAATTCACTCTTAAGGTAAAAAAAAATGATGAGTAAAAAATTAGATTATATACTTGAGAAAGAAGTATGCCAGGGCTACCCAGCAGACGGCGCCAGTGAGTTTGTTGGCAAACAAAAAAGGGCGAATACAGAGAGTCATTGCTTAGCTCTCGCTTCCACTGTTTACATCTCAAGAAATTCATTTGACAGTGCTGTGGAACGTATTTGGTAGCGCTCTTAGCATTTAGATGAGCTAGCAGGTGGCGCGAGAGTTTGCTCAACTGAATCACGTTTGGAAGCCATATGGGCACGTGACTTTTGTCCACCACGCCAACCCAGCAAAGGACAAAGGAAAAAACAATTCTCTTGAAAAAAAAAAAATTCATTGTTGCGCTGGTACGAAAAAAAGGCCGTGTGACAGGCCTAAAATTGCGGCAAAGGACGCACAAATTTGGATACAAATGTAATAATTGTCATTCACTCTAACCCTTCATTCAATCCAAACGATTCACCATCCGCGTGTTGAGCGAGAAGAGCCTAGACCAGCGAGCGTTTTTCACACGCACAAAAAGGTACCGTTTTACGTCTGTGATTCATTTATTGGTGATTTTCCTGTATGGCTCCCGGTTTAAAGGCCGAGTGGCGGTCTTCCCAGAGCGGTGCCGCAATATAAAAAAGCACAAGATCCACTTCTGTGAATGCACAATCTGAACCCAGTCTAAAAGTCCATTCCCGCCGTTTCCTTACGTTGCACTACGTCACGAGAATGGAAGTCTACCTACGGCGCGAGTCACTGGGAAATTCGTGCTTTGTACGTGTGAAGCGTGGCAACCAGTTCAAATAGTAGCTCCGCAAGCGACATACAAAGCACGGATGTCTCGGTGACTCATGACGCAACGTAAGGAAACGTAAGCACACGCCCATGAGTGAATGGACCGTTATTGTAATCCAACTTGTTCCGAGACGCCGCATTGAGAGCCTTTCTATAGGATCACGATACGCCATTAGGTAAGTGCTGATTCGAGCGGGCTATTCTCGAGAGCAAAGTGGTCGGGCTCGCTCAAGTCGCGTTCATGAGCAGCTCGTACCGAAATGTTTCGAACCAACAACTTGGAAGACGGTCAATCGACCCAAATGCTCTCAAAATTCCCCGTGAATTGCGGGTCTGCCCGGTTGCCAGGTCTCCAGTTGCACGGGACGCGTTTCATTGTACATTGAAATGAGGCTATTAGCAAAGCGTTATTTCTTCAATCTTGTTCATTCGCCTTTGTTTTTGATTAGTGGCGGTGCAGGGATTTTTTTCGCGCGCATTAGGTGAGTGTTGTCGTCCACGTTTCGTGCGCGTCGTGACTGGGGATATCCCTGCGTCACGGCGCCAACAAAGGGCCCGAAATATTTCGAGGAGAGTCTCACCTATGTTGATGTCAACGGCGCCCACGTGGCAGGTCAACGCAAGAAGCCACGGCGCCAGAAGCCATGCGTTCCCTGTCATTTCCGGACCCGCGTCTCCAAGTTTCCAAAGTGTCAACGGTTGACCCAAGAATACCGCCGCCGGTTCCCAAGTCGCCTCTCGTGCTTTCGTTCCTCTTTTTTCTTTCCCCTTCGTTGCTATATCATTCGCGCAACTTGACTCGGCGCTCGGAACCGAACTTGAAATGTTCTCTAGCCCTTTAGTTTGTTTCGCCCCTGATAAATGGGACGAAGATGGCATGACGCGGGGAGGCCGTCTCATTTGTCTCTCTCCTTCAAGGGAGGCGGAGCGTGCGTCGTAACGTCACGCAGACGGCGTCGATGGACCAATGGGAAACCAGGAAACGATTCTAGGGGCAGACGTGTGGGCGCTGGGAGTGGGCCAGTCAATAGGCGGGCCTAATTGCCCCAGTTTCTGCTCTGGGTCGAACGCAGAAAGTGAAACAAGAAGCAAATTCAGGGCTACTCAATCCACAAAGGTGGTTTCGTCTGCCCCTACCTTGTGCTTCGCCGCACGATGAAGGAGAACGAGGCGAAGCAACTGCGCAGCACATTTCCGATGGTAAACGAGATAGCTTTGTTCGAAAATTATTGTTGTTGTGTTTTGTGCGTGTCTTCCACGGCGGATCCTGATAAGAGCTACAGGTCGAGTTGTCTTTCGCTTGCGTGTACCTCGATGCCCTTGACGGGTCGATAGAGCTCCCCTAGAAGAAAAAGGACAATTTCAAATCTCGTGCGCAAAATCCACGAAAGCATCTCTCTGTGCTCATGTTAGTGCATTATAATCTATAACGTAAAACACGGGCGCGCTATTACACCAAAAATCGTTGAAACGCTCGAAAAATCGTTTAAAAAAAAATAAGAAATGCTTTCTGCGAACACGCAGGCGAACGTCGTCTCGGCGGAGTAATGTCAGAAGATAAATATCCAGTTAAGTGTACATCCTGCGATTGTGGGGTCAAAATCGCTGCCGCTTGCGGCACGGCGACACGGATCGCAAGCCTTCATTTCACGTGAGGGCTTTCTGCCGCTGCGTTGCCCAATGTTGCTCGCTGCAAGCGAACGGGCACAATAGGTTTTATCAGCTTCCAATAACACCGTCAATATTGTATTCGTCGTTTCAACCTTGAATTTTTGTTAATTAAAAAGAAACAGTGATATTCGACCCCTAAAAAACTATCTTGGTTTGCCTTTGCTCGGTGTTTTTTGAACGCTCGTTCTCTCAACCGCATTTCAGTTATTATCCCAGAGTGCACATTCACATACAAAACGTAAGGTGAAAAAGGAAGTTAACTTTGCAAACACTGTTCACGGCACCCAGCCACACAGGCTCAACCCATTCGCGGCTGAACACAGCAGAAAGGACCCAACTGGAGAAACCAAGCCACATATTGTCTCTGCCTGTCGTCTGGTTCGACACGTGGCAACGCAGTCCTATGCACAACCTTTCACACAATATGTCTACTCCTGTCCCAGGATTCGCCGCCGCGCTGTGAATGCCTAGAAGAGATTCTGACGCTCCACCGCTCTGCCGCGGCGAAAGATTTCCAACCGTGCCGAAGTGCGCTGGTCAACCGCGCTGCGGCTGGCCCATACGAAAATCGTCAATGGACATTAATGGAAACTCCTACGGTGCGGTATCACCATGCATGGCCCTCTATGGTCAGCCATAGGAAACCATAAAACACGCAATAGCCACCTACAAATCGTCAATGTCTGCAAAGCTATAGAATAACCACCATTAAGATGTCGATAGCCGGCTGTAGAAAAATTTGTCTACAAAGCTATAGACATGCGACTATTCTATTTTCCTTAGCGAGCTATAAAAAAGTGGATGTCTCTAATGCGATAAATTTGCGACTATTCAATATGCTTTAGCTGGCTATAAAGGTGTGTCCTTAAAGATGTAGATTCGCGAGTTTTGAATTTTCTTTAGCAGACTCGGTTGTTTTTAATGTTCCCTAGGCTATGAATCAGCGACTTTTCAATATGCCTGAGCCGGTTATAGAGGAATGTATGTATCAAAAACTATAGACCCAAGACCATTGAATTGCCTGTAGCCGGCTCAATGTTGTTTTACGTCGCCTAAGCTATAGACCCTGGACCTTTGGGCTTTCGGTTCATTCAATTTGTGTTGACATTTTTTCATGCATAATTGTTCCTATACTTGTTGCGCTTACCGCATACCCTACATTGGGGTTCTGTTTATATTTCAAGTTACTGATTGCCCTTCTGCTTTCAAAGGACGACGATCCCATGTCCCCCCCTCGCTTGCTATAATCCCTACGCACCCAGTGCCAAGGTGCCCACACTCCTTTGTCGAATTTCCACTCCTGATTGAACCTCTGACCTCGTGCATAGTATGGCATTGCCCAATATATGCCAGGCACCATCACTCCTTTCCACATAACCCTGACCACTTCATTTTTCTTTTTATAATTTCATAGTGCCTCGGGATTTATATTATCTGTATTTGATTTCCCTTTCCTAATTATATTTCCTTCGTGCCCCTCTCTATATTTCCTTCACTCATCGAGCCATACCTGTAGATATTTGTACATTTCTCCATGGTTCATTACAATGTATTGTATTTCTAGGGGTACCCTCTTTTCGTCAAACACCACTACTCCCGACTTGTCACTCGAACAACTCGGGCACAAGATGTCCCCTTACTTTCCACATATCAGGCACGTAGCCAGGATTTTGTTTGGGGAAAGGCCCGCCCATTACAAAATGTTGTATGAGAGGGAGGGGGGAGAGGAGGCCCCAGCAAAATGGAAGATTACGGGGGGAGGGGGGGCTGGCCCCATGGGCCACCCCTCTGGCTACGTGCCTGCCATATATCCCAGTTAGATCCTGCGATGTATTTTGGATATGGGCCTCCTACACTCCACTGCCCTTTTCAAACTGTTCCCCGCGTTGGAAGCTGCGTAATCTCTGCACAATGTGGAACACAAGCGCGAGTTTCTCGAGTTGGGTTGCGCCTCGGCTGCACGAGCCCTTCCTTGTACAGTGAGAGCAAGAGTCAGAGCTACCCGCTGGCGCTTGCACTTCCGCGGTGTCGCTTGGCGAACAAAACGGTACAACATGTAATGACTACCGCCTCACGAGCGCAAGAACTTTTTTTTTGGTTTCCTAAGTCTATTGAGCAACATTGGCGGTCGCCATTGCTTGGAAGCGAGTGATTAGATCCGAGTCCACGCTGAGCGCTGCTTTCGATACGAGCTCAGCCGAGTTCACGCCGTACGCTGAAGAACGCCGACGGCAGAGCGCGCGACAGGAGAGCGCCGCTACATCAAAGCGCCTGGCATTAGAGCGCACGTCACGAGAGCGCTCAACAAGAGCTCCAGTCACTGAGCTGCCTTTTCCCGTGGCAGAACGTTCAAGTATCCGATCTCCTTCTGTAGTAACTCGACTGTTATACATTGAATTAACCGTTACGCGACAGACAGCACTTCACAATAGACAGTTTTAGTATAGCGTTGCTGAATCTTACGCACGCAGTACGCAATAATATAGCGTACGCTAAAAATGACCTGCTCGGACCGAATTTAGTTGTGCGTTACGTTTTCGAGTGAACACCGCGCATGACCTTGGTTAAATTTGCTAGAGCCGTAGAATTCCGCGTGCTTATAGCGCACCATGCTCCTGGAAAGAAATATTGAAAAATAAAAAGTGTCCAATCAGTTTATTTCAGATTAAACCAAGCCACAGCTGCCTCGTCAAGCGCGCTTTTCTGCAGGGTACAGAGGCTACGAGTACGAGTGCGTAGCCATATTCGATCACGGAGCCTCCGTCAGTCGTCCCGTCGAAACGGCACCTTTTATAAATGATATCGCGGAATGAAATTCATTACCCTGATGTTCATAGCATAGCGAGACTTTCGGCGATTTCTTTTAGAGTCGTTCGTCCGTCGGCGATGAACTGTGGGAATAGGCTTAGCGTTGAGCAGATGGCAGCGTCGACGCACACTGCGAGCGGCGAACATTTCCACTGTGCACTCCTTCAGCTGCACGGCGATCTGATTCGACCGGGTACGTCCCAGAAAGAATCGCCGAGCTGAAGACCACGCAATTTCACGTAACACAGAACTTCGAAAACACCACGTCGCCCTTGCTGCGCCACTCGAGGCAACCGCTATCTTGAAACTGGCGCTCTCGTTGGGTTCGAGATCTCTCGAGAACGTCCCGCAAGGCCCGCTCATAGAGTTATTACAATAAACGCTAGAGGCTGAGCTGGCGCTAGTGTGCTGTTGAATTTTGAAGCAGACAGCAAGCAGTCAGAAATTGACTTCCGGTAATGCATTTTTTGGGAAAAAGCGAGTGCATTTTCTCTCTGTGCTCGATTATAAGAGCAAATATCACTAATAATTTGTACGTACTAGGCACATTGTAACATTTCTCAGTCAGGCAGACGAAATAATTGATCAGTTACAGTATTTTTATTTGAAATTCGTGGTATGAAAAACGGTGTTAAAACCGCTTCGTACGTGTATTTATGTGCACTGTCGGACACTGTTAGCGCGAACACGGCGTCGACGCTTTTCGGAATGGGGGATATACGTGCCAAACGATCGAAGGACATGTGGAAAACCAAGACAGACGGCAAGAACTACGCAGTAACACTAGATAAGTAACTCCTTGTGCACGCAGACGATCAAAATGAATTAAAAGCCACGTAATATAATCAGATTTCCAATAAAGAAGTGTTGCGCTTTATTCTTTCTGCTCATGAATATATGCGAAGATGCTTGTTCTGGGTTCAAATCATCCCCCGCACGCTCCAAATCTTTGCAAATAGGGGGAAGCCAGAGGACAGGTGCGCGATAAAAACTGGCCAACATAGGAAATAATAAGAAAACACACCTTTCGTAGCCCACGTACTTTATTCTTTACGTTTCAAACGTTTTTTTTTTTTTTTTTTTTTTTTTTTACCATTTGTAAAGATGCACGACGGGGTCATTTTCATATAGTGAGAGGACAGGCATATTAGCAACATATAAGCACCAACGGAATGCTGGCG